ATTATTATTATTATTATTATTATTATTATTATTATTATTAGATAATAACTACCAAGTAAGAGAAATTTTATAGATTTGAAAATCATTCTGAATTCTAAATCTCATCTATTATCCTTTACATGTATATTTATCATTGTAGGCTTCAATGTACGGAACACCGCCAGCATCATTTGTTACTGGTGCTTTCAACCAGTCTCAAATTCCAATTGTTTCCAATGGGTACTTTTCATGCTTGTGTTTTTTTGAACAATTTTTAATTGATATTAATATCAGTGCTTCAGATTTTTTTTTCTTCAGATTTTGTGGTAACGTACCATTTGCTATGCATTCAGCTGCAGTTTTCCCAAGTGCAGCATCGATTCAGTTTCAGCAACAGCAAACAACTCTTCAAGCACCCCTAGTTTCCACTGCATCAAGTATTATTACACCAGTCTCTTTTTCAAGTATTCATATATATATTTGATAACCATGCAGTTAGTTTTCATGTACATTTCAGTTATGTATTTTTTTGCTCATTCAGTTCCTGTGACACCGGTTGCTGTTAATGTAACAAAGTCATCTCCAGTTTCGGTTCCGATGTCTTTACCGAAAGCAACACCAGTACTTCCGCAGCAAATACCATCTCAAGCATCTTTTGGAGTTCATCCAAAAAGCATTCCATTCACTTTTAGAGCTGAGTCTAAACGTAAACCTTTAATTCATATGTATGGCACGTTTTTTTTTTTGTTTTCAAAAAAATTTCCACTTTTCCCTTTTATTTCTCGTATATTATTCTGCAGAAGGAATTCCAGCGACTACGCCATCTGCTACTGGTACAGCAACTTCTTTCTTGAGCAAGCCCACTACGACAGCAAATCCCTCTTCATTTACAGAAATTTTCGGAAGTCCCAAAAATTTCCCAACTACTACGACAGAAAAAGAGGAGAAAGAAAGTGATTCTGCACCTAAAACTACTAGTGCAAGTGTTCCAGAAAAATATGAGACTGGAGGTTACATAAAGTTTTTTTCAAGATTTTGTTGTGATCATGTGCAGAATTTTCCAGAGTATTGAAACATGTCTGGTTTATTTCTTGCAGTAGATGATGAAGAGACACCAGAAAATTTCGAGCCATCAGCTCATTTTGAACCTGTTATTGAGCTTCCAGAATTGGTCGAAGTGACTACAGGCGAAGAAAATGAAGTGGTTAGTTTTGTGCAGTAGTCGCAATCTATGCATTGTTTAATGTTTTAATCAATAAATTTATAGGGCTTCCAAAAAATGTGAATTGGGATTAATGTTGCTCATTTTTCATGTATGAAAGTTTATTTTTATGGAAATGTTATATCAAGTAATGAATTGTAAAATTATTCTAGATCATATTTGCTGAACGATGTCGATTGTTCCGATTTGTTGTTGATGAGTACAAAGAACGAGGTGTAGGGGTTCTTAAAATCCTGGAAAATCCAGAAAAAAAGATCAGCCGCATAGTTATGCGGCGAGATCAGGTTCATAAGGTGATATTTTCTGCTTTGAAAAATTGCTATTAAGTTTCTAATATTTGTCACAATTTCAATTTCCTATGCCTTTATTCGTGTGAGCTTTATTCTTGAGCTTTTTTTTTTCCTTCAAGTTTACTTTTCAAAAAAAAGTGTGGGATTTTTATCTTTATAAAGTTAGATCATAAACCTGATGCTAAAAGGCAGTATATATGTAGCCTTAATCATATGTTCATTCATTGTTTTTAGGTTTGTGCTAATCACATCATTCAGCCGACAATGACTTTAATGCCTCTACAAAAATCAGATCGAGCATTTGTTTGGCTTGCTAGGGATTTCGCGGAGGAAGAAAAAATGGAAAAGTTTGCTGCTCGTTTCAAAACTGTTGACATTGCAAAAAAATTCGAGGCAGCATTCAATGCTGCACGATCTGGAGCTTCGTTGTCAAGCAATAGTTTGAGCAGTAAGTTTAATTTCTCTTTGCTGAATGTTAATACTTTCTAAGTGTCTAAATTACTTTTTAATTCTAGAATTGTCAAAAACAAACTCTCATCTTTAGAAACAGTAAAAACTGAATCTGAGCTAGACGAAACTAAAAAGAAGGAGGATACGAAAGTGAACCAAGAAGGAGTTAGTAACTGTAAAGGATTTGGTGATGCGTTCAAGCCATCACCTGGAAGGTTGCATTTTTATTCTTATTTATTTTTCGCAAATTTCTAATCTGTTTGATAATGTAATGGGATTCTATCCCACAAAAGTCATTTTTATGTTTACTTTTATCAGAATTATATTCTCATTTTTTCAGCTGGACATGTAATGGTTGTTATTTGTCCAACACAGCAGCCGTTACAGCTTGCGTATGTTGTGGGGAAACCAGAGATGGTGGGATTGTTAATAGTACTACCCAGACTTCGATTTTTTCAAGGTCATCGTTGCTTAGTTTTTAGACATATTATTCGTAAAGCTATAAGGAGTCAATTTTTTTGCATATGTGTTATTAATAGTAAACTTATGATACTTTATGAATATATATTTTAGTAAACCGATGTCGACAGTTGCCCCGATTAAAGGTACTAGCGGAATTACATTTGGTTTCCGTAGCGATAATTCATCGACAAACGTCACCACAATGTCTGCGTCTAATACGTGCGTATGATTTTTTTTTTTAATTCTATGATCATAATTGTTTCTGTGGCTTTATGAAGTGTCAGTTTTTTAGTGGCTTGCCTACATTCCGCTTTAAACCGGCAGTCATGAATACAGCAACAAGTGTTACCTCTACCACCAATGCGAAAACGTTTAGTTTCGTTTCTCGTTCACCAGCAACTACTATTACTACCAATTCTATTTTCCGCTCGGCGACGACTACCACTGCTTCAGCAGGGAATGGGATTCCTAATTTCAGCTTCAAATTTACTCCGAGTGGCACATCTACATTTGGTGCCTCATCATCTTTGGTTGACAAGCCAAATCCATTAGCAACTACTACTGAAGCCCTAGCAAAAAGTACCTCAATACTCATGAACATGTTATAAATTTTGTTTATAACATAATAATGAATAAAATTGTTCACCTAATGAAATACTTTTCTTTTGATTTTTGAATTCTCTCAATTTTATAGCGACTGAAAGCACAGCTGCTGTAAGCACGAAATCGTCCTTTTTCGGTGGTTCCGCGTTCTGTAAGTGTTTTGCGCCCTCTAACTGTAGTTGTGCTGTACACTTTTCTTCCTTTATTGTGCTTTTTCAAAGATTTTTTGAATCTCTGATATTTGAATTTGTGTGATAGAGGATGTTCATCACTTTTTAATGAATTAGAGTTTTTTCAGTTCGAAAGCTGTCAGTTATTCAGCATTGATACAAGTAAAGTTTTCAAATACTGAATGTGATTTTTCAGCTGGTGGGTCCTTATTTGGGAAACCGCCAAGTGGTGGATTCGCTGCCTTAGCAGCAAAAGCAAATGCTGGGGCAAGTAAGGAATCTCCTGAACCTGCTGCAAATAAAGTTGTCACAACATTTGGCGCGAATAAATTTGATTCACCAGTGAACTCGGTATGTTCTGAATATTAATTAACGCTTTGTCACTTTTTACATTGGAAACTAGTCTCAATTCTAGTCTAGATAACTTTCTGCCTTATATCTTGGTTGCTTCCTTACGGAAGTGCTCCATCGATCAGGACTGATTCTTTTCATTTGTTGGTCTCCATATATTTTTTAATTTAGTTCATTAAGCTTGATCTTAATGTGATGCTGTCTTAGGTATTCTCCTCCGGATTCAAAAAATCTTCAACATCCGAAAAAACTGAAAAAGATAACGATGGTGGTGGTTCAGATGAAGCAGAAGAGTTTGAGCCAAACGTTCATTATGAACCCGTGATTCCTTTACCTTCACTAATCGAAGTAAAAACTGGTGAAGAAGGTGAACAGGTCAATTTCCCACTGCCTATATTTAGCATCATTTTAAAAGGAGCTTATTGTTCGTTAATTCTCCATTAATATGCAGCTAAAGAAACTGAAAGGATTTAGGTGATGTTTAAAGGTCGATCAAAACTATATCGTTATGTCGCGACAATAAAAGAATATAAGGAGCGTGGTGTTGGTGATATCAAGGTAATTAACTTTCATTTTTATCAAATTCTGTGATAATGCATTAATTTGTCTTTAACCAAATATCGTCATTTTATATAGACTAATGAGAAATGACTTGAAAATCTGTGAATTTCAGATTCTTTTCAATCCTGAGACTAAGCGTTATCGAATCGTTATGCGTCGAGATCAGGTGTTAAAAGTATGCGCTAACACACCGATAACAGAAAATTCACAGATTAAGAAGAAACCTAACACGGAGAATGCATGCATGTGGATGTGCAAAGTAATTGGAGTTTTATGTAACTTTATATACCAGTTTTATGTGGCTTTTTGGTCTTTTATGGTGTTCGCGATTACTTTTGTAGCTTGAGAATGAATGATTCATGTGAAAGAGAATTTATAGTGTCATTTGATATGATTTCTGATGCTTATAAATTGAGACCATTTCAGGACTATTCAGAGGAAAAGGAAGGAGTAAATGAATGTTTTGTTGCCAGATTTAAGGATCCCGCATTAGCTGATGATTTCATCCAAGCATTTCGTAATGCTGCAGAGCGCAAATTCCCTTCTGCAAAGCAGGAAGATGCTTTTGCTGCAGGTCATTTTTTACGATTTTTGCGTACTTGTGTTTCGTCATTCACTTCAATTTTTAGATGGGGAGAATATGGTTAAATTTGCTTTTGTTATGGGCGTGTTTTTGAAGGCGATAGTGTCGTACCCAAAGTAGTGGATTTAAAAAAGCAAGAAGAAACAAAAGCGATGCAAATGTCTTTGGGAATGCTACAGAAAGGAAATAAAAATGACGAGAAAGCTAACAGGACACCTGTTAGCGACATATGTGATGAAGACAGTGATGAGGATGATAATGATGATGATGATTATGAGGAGGACGAAGATTGCTCAGAATCACTTACGTGGAACGTTACAGTGTCCATTACTGAAGCATATCATTCTCCTCTAAAACCTGTATGTTCCTCATTCGGTTTGGATGTTTTTTAATAGTATATTTACCCCTCCATTTTTTTTTTAATTTTGAAAGAGCATAGAACTATACGTTACTGAAATAACAGAATAAACCACTTGAATTCACTGGGTTGCTATCACTGAAACTGATGAGCTATGGACCACTGAAAATTGATCTTTATAATGATGACGGAGAAAAGAAGTGGTCACATTTCATTTCAGTGCAAGACTCTTTATCCCAAACAGTAAGCTTAGTCTTCATACCTATTATCCTATTATTAACAAAGAAAGTCTTTCTTGATATTCATTTCATGGCAATTTATTTAACGTGTTACGAAATACAAGCGGGTTTCAAATAGAATAATATTGTAGAAAAACAAAGTGAAATATATTGCTGTAGAAAATACACAAAGTGAACAATTGGTTATCGAATTTGCTAATGAAGTCCAGTGTTCGAAAGCGTATCAGGAGCTCGAAGAAGTGACTTTTTTTATTTACATTTTTTCTGATCTCATTAGTTTCACTTTTTTAGGGTTTGCTTACTTAGTATTACTTGTTTTAGGGTTTGCTTACTTTAAAAGATGATGCCGAAGAATAGTGACTATGGTTCTTTTAACTGTTTATGAGCTGCAAGTGTGATGAATTGTTGATGCTGACGCATTTGTCTTGGCTGAAAGTGATCCATATTTTACATATCTCTGATTGTCGATTTTTGCAAAATTACCTGAGAAGCAGTGGATAATTGTCTTGTTTATAACGAAAATTCTGAATTTTTTTAAGTATTCAACCGTTAGATTGATAATCTTGCAATAAACATGATATTTCCTAAAATGGGAAGTAAATTTACATTCAGTATATCTCAAACAGTTCATGAGGACCTAACCGGTAAACGGAGTTTTATTAATTAGTCCTCACGAGAGAACTTGAAAGATAAATTCTCAAACGAACAGTAGAAGTTTAGGTTGTTCGGAATTCTATTTTGCACCTTGCTGGGACAGATGTTTCTGCTTAGTTGGGTGTTGATGGTCTCTCTGTTCCTTCGTTCCTTCGTCATCCAGAAGTTGCGCTGCGTGAGGCAACAATGGCTCTAGTACTTCAAAGCACTCCTGTGATTAGCTCGAATTAGCAGTTTTGTACAGCTTCCACATGTATGATCAGTAAATAATTACCTTGACAGCAGCTGGACTACCAGGTACATTAATAATTAATGTAGAACCAGAGATACCAGCACAAAGTCTAGACAAAGCAGCAAACGGTGTGGCTTTCAATGAACGTAAGTGAAGTGCTGTTTCCAAACCACCGCATCTCTTTTCAATTATCTCTAGTGTTGCCTACAGAAATTTTATATATATTATGGACAGAAACTTTCCCCAAAAAAAGCTTGGAGATACGTATCCTTACTTGAGCTTACATTCCTGAGTACTCTTCACAAAGTTTTACTCAGAAGACTTCATAGGATAATGAAAGTTGTATTTCTTCGGCAACAGGATAGCGAACGCTTATCGTCTGTAGTTTGTTTTTATTTATTATTGTTACAAATCTATGTGATCCTACACGAGTTTCAAATTTAGGTGGGTATCAAGTGATAAAAGAGTTAACCTCAGGTGTAACGTCTCGTTTTGAGAAACCCGTCCCGCCGGTTGCAATGATTACATCTAAACATGTTCATAAATTTTTAACATTTTACAACTATTTAATGACTTATCAAGTCTACAAATACATTACTAGTTAGGTGATCCAGTAAATTATTTGCCAAAATGGGTTATCTTTTTGAAGGTTTCCTACTACTGATTTATCTTCACGAACTTTAAAAGTTGTGGAAAATTCTCAGCTGTTACTCAAGAAATAGGACGTACCAAAAGTTTTGCATAATAAGTTGAACACATTTTTGATTGCTTGTTTGTCATCCGAAACTGTCAAGTTCTCCACGCACGTAACGGAAATACTTAAAAAGACTTTATTGGAAGTATGAAAATGATTTAAAACTAAGTTGGTACGTTATATCAATATAAAGGTGAAAAATTCGATTCGTGTGAGTTTACTTTACTATTCAATTCAAAAAACTTCTTGACATTTCTGTTATTATATATAAATGGTGCGCAAACTTAAGGCTATCGAAAAGGTAAACTAAATTTTTATAATTAGATTTGATCAAGCTTATTCATCAAGTGAATTACTTTTCAAGTTATATTTCTTTAGTAGTTAGAATTCACGAACATATTTGAATCAAGAAGTAACTGTCGAAGGATAGAACCACTAGAATCTTGTCGAGTTCCTTTTGAAACAGAATCACTAACTGGAAACAAAAATTCAAATTTGACTAGAATAATTTCATCGTCAATTATTTAGATCAATTCGAAACATAAGTAATCACAAGTTCTGGACATTAAAATTTAACGATGTATATTAACAGTATCTTGATATTAATATATCTGGTCTCAAGGTTGATCTATCTTGATTCTAAAGTCATATTAATAAAAAGAGTTGGCATATTTAATGTTAAGAAAAAAGTATCACTTCAAATTTTGGTAAACAATTTATTAATATGGATATGTAAATTTTGATAGTAGTTTTCGGTAGTACAAGTGTACAGGTCAGTCACCTGAGTAAGCTTTACTTGACCTTTCTTAGTTAGATATAGTATTCGCACAATTGTTTTATGGTAATAAAATTATGTAATGTTGAGATTTTGTCAGCTTTTTTTACAGATAAATATATTTGCTGTAAAATAAGAATATTAAATATGCAAATAGTTTTAGTTTAAACTGATATGTTCCAAAATAAAACAACAAGTAATAATAATAAGTAACAAATAAATATGCAAATTACCTGTAACTACGGCTACTCTCATCATCAGTTTATATTTTGACTATTTAAAATATCATTTTTTATCACGGCCATCACTGAGCGAATGAATGCAACGCAATGTTATTATTTTGAACCATCAAATTTAGATTGATTGTAACAAGTTTTCAAAAACTTTTAAGGAACAATGGTCTGTTTCAAAGATGGATTAATTAAGTTCTTTTATAAATTTTAATTAATTAAATTCTTTTATAATGACCTTTCGTGTAAATATTTAATAATAATTAATAAATGAACTTCCAGGTTAATTGACCTCATGACCGATAACATAATGATAATATTTTGAATATTGTTACTGTGTCAAAAACACTTAATTTTCTTAAATTTCTTTATTCCAAATTACTGATAATTAATTATAGTTCGATATGTTCAATTTTATATTGCAGACTTTATCTAATGCAAAATAATTAAGAACTTAAATTGAGATTAACTAATCATAACGAAATATTTTATTTCGATACTTCAATTTCAATTACTGTTTGCATTCTTCGATTTACAATTAATATTTACACATTTTAAATTCAGATTAATTAACATGACTGAGTAATTTTTCTAATCAAAATTACAAATAATCAGTTTAAGCATCTATCAGTTATCAGATTATTTAATCACAATTTTATGACAGATAAATAATTAAGGTCATACTAATGCATATTTAGATAGTAAAATCGAAGTTATAATTAATTTGTGTATAAAGAGTATATGTAAATTTTTTTCATAATATAAATAAAATGTAGGGAATATATTTTGCATATAATTTTTAAAGTCTAGTCATGTGGTGGTCAGAATATTTTGAGCGGTGGCGTATTGATATTGCCTACCGTTTGCTTCATTGGGTTTACAGTCGAAAGGATTTTAAACGTTTTTGGTATCCCCAAGTGCTTATTTTGCATATTGATGAGAATCCTGAATGGCTAGTTGATTGTCAGAAATTAATTGCAGTAGCAGAATGGATCAAAGATGGTGCAGCATCTAATATTGTTGCTGTTTTATGTGAAGTATACAAATTTACATTTTTATTATTTTAATTAATTGATCAAAAGACAGTAATCAAAAGTATCAAGTTTAAATATTAAAACAATACTATTACTGAAAATAGGATATATATATATATATCAATTAAATACGGTATTATCAAAAATGGCATAGTGAAAAAATATATTATTATAGAAAATTGCATTTTTTAGTAAAGTTTACATGATTTGAATGAATACTAAGTAATTGGAGGTTATTATGAGCGATATTATACTAATGTTACTGTACAAAAATCTATTAAAATTGCATTTTTCATCAGTTATACTAAAAGTGTGCATGAATATAGCAATAAAATATGTTTCAGATATATACTGTAATTAAATATGCTAAATATACTTTGAAAATTATGCATAAAATTTTAATACCACAAAACTCTTATATCATTGAAAAATTGTAAAATTTTATGCATAATTATCAATTTTTAGTGTCGTTTTTTAATTTTACTGTATTCTGTTTTATTATCACTCTATTAAATTAATAGTTTTGGTTTTTAGAGAAATCGTAATAAATATGTGAAAAGTAGGAATTTATTACTAAAAAGTTGATCTTAGCAAAATTTATGCTTTAAATCATTAATAACTTGCTAAAATAAAATTGTTCATAGGGACATACAGAAGATCCGGATACAGCTGAATATCTAAGATCAGTTGAAATAGCAGTCAGACAACTGGTTAGAAAGTTACTGTAACTATAAGTAAAAATTAAAGCTTCCGAAAACATAGTCTTTATATTTTATTAACTGGTTAACAAATTTATATTCAATTAGTCAGTTATTTTTGCAATAACAATTTTCGAAATTTTAATTTAATTATTTTTTATTGAGTCTATTTTTTCCTAACATTATATATTTGCTGTAGTTTTATTTTCTTAGAAAATAATCTTTTCAAATATTATTAATTTGTGCAAAACCGCAAAATTTTAAATGGTATGAGGACTTTTTTTCAAAAACTTTAAAAGTTTCTAATTAATTGCTATTTTTGTAGCATTACTTTGTACAAAAATTTTATGGTATTATTTTGAAGAATTTACATAATTTGTAATATTTTTGTGGTATTACTTATGTAATGAAAAAGTAGTATAAGATTTGGTTACAATAATATTCAATTTGAAACTTGAAAAATGCATATTTATTATTTAGTATAAATTTATATACTATTTGTAATTCAGTTACTCTTTTCAAATAACTGTTTGATATTTATTAGGTTTTTGCCAGTATGCAAATTTTATCTCCATCTTACTTTTTTTTCAATTCAGATTGGTGAATCTTGTCTTAATGCGCATCATTTAGTCGTATCGTATGAAAATCTGAGTGAATTGAATGAAACGGCTTCAGCAGTAATCCAGTGTTCTGGTTTAGGAATCTTAAAACCGAATACAATCCTTGTAGATTTCCCCAAATGTGGTGTTTCTGCAAATTTGTTCGTTTTTTCTTTTCTTGCTTCTTTGCAATGCAATGGCGGTTTAATTCAAATTTAATCATTTGAAAATGTTATGAAAAATTGTAATATTAACAATTTTTAAGGGAAATTGAAAAGTTTGAATAAGTTTTGAATTTAAAAAAAGTTTCTTAAATTGATATCCAAGTATAAATGGCAGTTATTCTTTAGAAAAAAATTAAAATTATCAGTAATTCTAAATTTTTCAATCGTTTATTAAAATATTTATTAAAAATTTTGTTATGTTTTTGACTTATATATAATATCAAGTGATTCAAATTTTGAACAGTTATTGTTTATTGATTAATACTTATATCAATCAATAACTGTGTTTATATCAACAGATTTAATGTGATATGCTGTCGAGATATATGTCAATATTTCACACATTTTTCATATTTACGTGAAAATTTGTTGCGATAAATCTCTAAAAGCTTAATTAAATTCTTATTTTTGCAACTAAAAGCATGATTAAAGAATATATTGAATATAGAGTGATTAATTAATTATATTTATGAATGAAAAACTATTTTTCCCTTTAAATCACTATTTTAATAATTTTAACAACTTTTTTTTAGCTACATAATATTGATAATTTCTTTAAACACTTAATACTGCAATTTTTTTCTTAATATCGATAATATACATCTGAGGTCGAGAGTTCGTGACGTAAGCTAAAATTATATGCGAAATATTTACGATAATTTTATTATTTGCATTTCCAAACATATATAATTTTCTTTAGTAATTATAATTAACCGCTGTTTACCTAATACTGTTTTTATTTATTACTGTATATTGTTTTATTTAATAAGTAAAATGGCACATCAATAATTACGGTATTCATGCAATTACAGCATTTGATCATCGTAATGTAGCACATAAATTTACTTAATCGTTACTATATTGATTGCTGTAATCCTTCCAACAAAATTAATAATGAATATAGGAAAATTTTGTAGTAAGAATTATTATTAAAGTTCATATGCTGGACAAAATGAATTATGGAATCGAATAGCAGCAACAATGGATAAATGTTTATTGATATGTAAAGGAGATTTGTGGAAACCAATTCCTTTTAATCTTGCTGTTAGCTTAATTAAATTTAATAATTTTATCAAATTAATAAACTATTATTTGAAAAAATTGCTAATAATTATGCTTCTTCAATTGAGTAAATCATAAAAGTTAATAATTTTGCTAAAAATATTTGACATTTAAAAATATATATTTAACTGCTAGTCAGTTTATAGTAAAAAAATTCAATTAAATATGAAAAAGTATCACTTTGCTATAGTTGCTTGCATCAATTTTGATAATAATCTTGCGACTAGTATTTTGTATTTGAAAACTTTTGTCTAAAAAATTTTTAAAATATGCAAATATTAGTGATAAAATATGCAAATATTGTAGACAACAATAGACTTATGGTGGGTTGTAGAATCAGATGACCTCTTACTGTCATTTGTATACGTAATTTGTCGGAACTATCGATGGACGTTTACAAGGTTGAACTAAGAATTATACCATTTAATTATTATTCAAATTTCATACTCAAATTATGCTAATTTGTTTCAATAAGAATAATAATTACTAATGAAAAAATATTAAGTATAGTGCCAAAAACAATAATTATTATTGAATGATATATCATTTTTGGAAGCACAGTAAAGTTTTTACAATAATTTTTACTTTTTCTTGAATGAATCATGCAAAACATAACATAAAAAATTTTTAATACTAAAGGAATTTTCATTTGTACTGTAATTTTCATACGTCTAATGCTAATATGATAGGTCTAGAATCAGTAACTGATTGTTGCAACAAACATTATTCGAAATATTAGTGGAAAATTTTGCATAAATTTAAGTTTACGTATATTTGCGGTGATCAAAGAAATGGAATTTGAAGCAGTAAAAGATCAAGTTTTAAAACGTATTCATTGCGCATCCCTTGAAGTAGATAATATAGAATTTAAAGCGGTTGATCAAGATGATATTGCTGCTTACGAAAGTGAGTATTTAATTTATTACGCCTTTGCGTTAAATAAATTATAGTCGAAAATTTTGCATAAAATACAAAAATTAAAATTAGAAAATTAAATAATTGAATGAAGTTAAATAATGACTTTTTAATGCTTATTTTAGGCGCAAAAGTAATAGCAGAAACTGTTGATGGTCAGTTAGAACAAGAATTGAAATATCGTCGAGTTTATAAGGTATTATTATGAATTTAACTTGTGTATATATCAAAATATTGGTAAAAAGGAAGTGAACAAAATAACTGAATTAAAATTTTAGGTATAAAAAAATATTTTCACCAATAAAACAAACAATACTTATAACTTTTGCACAGCACCCGAAATGGATTATACAAATTTATTAAAAATAAACTTTTCATTTAATCGTATTAAGAAATTGACGTCAAATGAAATAATAATTTCAATTAAATTATTGCATTGTATGCTAATATTTGCGATACGATTAGGTACGGTAAAATTGCTGAATAAAAAACTAAAAGCTTTGTGCTTAACACTTTGGACAGATCTTTGCATGTTATATAAGGTAATTATTGATACAGTTTAAAACACATACAGACTCAAATCTGCCGTACCTTAAAATTGAAATACAGTAATTATAGTTTGGAGCACTAACTTGTAGTACAAAATGCCTGAAAATTACATAACACATCTGGCATTAATTTTTCATTGTTACTGCATACTATTGTATACATTTTATGCTGCCTGCATAAATTTTAATGTAGTCGAATACTCTGCCTTACAGTATTATACCATATATTTTAGTTTCCTATATTTACAGTTTTAAATTTTAAATGTTAACTTTGAAGTACTGTAATTATAATTTAAAGCACTGACAGCAAAAAATTACTATTTATTGACAGTCAAAAATGTCTGGCATTAATTTTCTCTTTATTGTATTTTACTGTGTATTTGTCTTTTTTACTAAAATATTCCATAATATTATGACTAAATAATATGCTGCGCAAAAAGTGGATCTTTTTACCAAACATTAGTCAATAAAAGTAATATAATTAAAATTATAGAATGATCCACCAATTGCATTGAACAGTTTAATCAGAGGTGAATCACTGAATGCTGATTTGATTATAGTAAACTTGCCTCGTCCACGTGGTAACATGCTGGCTTCAAGATTACTGCAAAGCTTAGATGCTATTACCGAACGTCTTACGCGTGTTATTGTTTTTAGACCGCCTATGAATTTTTGATATTGAAATAAATTCATTGTTGTAATTTATTACATTGTTTTTTTTTACTTGAATTTGTTATAAAACATTGTTATTATCCAATACATTTTTGTACGATTAGCGATACAATTTTAAAATGTTTCATGCAATATTTAAAAATAAATTAATTTAATAATTTACTGTAATTTTTACTGGAATTTAGTTTATTATTCTGGTAATTCAGATTATCACAAATGCAAACGTATAATTATAATTTTTACTGTGATATAAACTTATTAACGCGATTATACATACTATAGCACATATATGATTTTTCGATTGCTACAAACATAAGCTTATGATAATTATAATTGCTAAAGCTGCAATTTATATGAATAATAAATGTCGCAATATTATTGAGATATATCCGAGGATGTTTATAATTAAATAAAAGCATATTTCAATTATAATTATACTATAATAATAATAATAATGAATAAAGCGTATTATTTATTTATTTATTAATATTATAGACGTTTATAATTATATGAAAGCAATTAAAAAATATTTATAGAATATAAATTATCATTCAAAATAGTTATAATGATTTGTACTTTAATATATTTTCATGGGATTACTTATTACTTGATTGATATGTTCTGTGTTTGTTATTTGATAGTCCTAACCATCCATAGCATATGTTTTTTGTCGAAGATGTACTCTTATCAGTAATTAGAATTTTTATCATATATTCTTAACTGGTAATTTTTTATTATTTTCAATGCATATGCTAAAATATAACATGATATGTTAAGTCTCGATTTGTTCTAAACTTATGACACTTGCTAGCATACAAATCATATACTTTCAGAAACTAAAAAATAAAAATTTAATCACAAACTGGAATGAATTTATTATCAATAAATCACATTAATTAATTAATTAATTATTTATTTATTTATATTATAGAGTATTATCTATTTATTATTATGGACGTATTATTTATTTATGACGTAAATATGACGTATTCTCTATTATTTATTTATTAGTATTAATAATTTCTGTTATTAAAAACAGAAAAAATTTCATGATATAATGGATATTCGGCGTTTATGCTTTCACCTTTTTCACAAACAACTATAAAAAATATATGCCAAATAATTATTTTTTTAAATAAACATTACAATTGTTAGTAATACTTGCAGTGAAACATACAAATATAGTAAATACTTATGATTCATATTTTAAGTTAAAAATAATCTGATTATTGATCGCAACAACGGTAAATTGTAATGCGCAATTGTATTTCAAATATTTTTTATTTTGAAAATGAAAAATTAGTGAAAAATATTTTGCCCTGTTCTGAAGTGAATTAAAGGACAAAGTGATAGAAAATGAAATTAGAAGCAGAACCTGTTTATTTATTCATCGTTGTCTCAGCACCACGACCTACCTACTGCAATTATACAAAAATAAGTAAAAGAAATTTCTGTTTATAATTTATTCAAATATTTAAATCTGATGGAAAATATTGATTTCGAACAACAGCAATCACTTCAGCAGTCTTTTTCTAATACTGGATCTCCAGAAGCTCTTCCCAACGTTGATATCAATTTTGTTGCCAAGCATAATTTCGCTGTCGATATATATCAGGTTTTGCTTGCACCATCAATTCTCGTTTATTTCCACAAATATTAAAGATATAATATCAAAGATCAATAAAGTATAATTCGAAGCATCAATTTTGTTTAATTAATTATTCTAACTTCTCGCATAAATTCGAAAACTCATGTTAAAAACAGTGGAATTCATATATTGAACTGCATTTTTATGTTTAGCATCCAAGTTCTCTTTAATTTGTTTTATACAGTATGCATATTTTTGTAATATTCTATATTACTTTGTTTAGTACAGTGTGTATATTTTTGTAGTAGTATTCTGATATTAACTGTTTTTGTACAGTATGTATATTGTTGTGATATTCTATATTAATTTGTCCAGTACAGTATGTATATTTTTATACTATGAGTACTGCTTAATGAATTTATTAATCTCATTTTCAGCTTGCACAGAAGTCTTTTTGGCTCGGATATATTAATTATGTTATATTTATTCAACATCTTATATTTTCATTAAATTAGTTAGCATAATAGCACATTACTTCATTTACTGTTTAATTTAGTTTGTACACATTTTTTTCATTACTAAATTTTTTAAAATTAATTCTATTGACTCCTAACTTTGTTATTTTCAAGTTGTATAAATATCAGCTTTATTAATTTTAATATATTAATTATACCATATTTGTCTAGCAACTTATATCTTAGGAAGTTTACAGAAATACATCGCAATAAATTTACTTTCAACGATTAATTCAGTCAGTAAGAAATTCTTTCTATTTGTTTATTATAGAAGTTTTTTCCTAAACTAGCCTCAGTTTTTAAATTTATTATTTTCATTTGCTTTCACTTTTGTTTAATTTAATTATTTTGTAAATATTTGCACTTATCCAAAAAAAAAAGCAATAAAAGCTAACATACAGAATTTATAAACCAAAATAAATATTAGAAAAGTATACTAATGTCATTAATGTACAATATTCTTATTAATTCTATTAAAAATTTTTGACACGAAAATGTATACTTTTAATTTAAATGTGAATTTTCTGAATTATTTTTAAAAATTGGTTTCTGTTTCTGAAAAAAACACTTCTAAAAGTTTCATCTTTCAATTCATTTATTCGTCAGTAATTTACGAACCTTCTGTCTTCATATACGCATTTTTTAATTTTATTTATTTTTTTTACTTTTTAATTGATATAAATTTTTTCCATTTTTGTTTTGATTGTTTTTTCTTTTATTTTCATAAATACATTTTATGTGATTCTTTTTTCTTCACAAATTCTATTATATATATATATAGTCATTTATTAACTTTTTATTTCTCATAAATATTTGCAAGTCAAATTAATCAAAATGTTTTTTGATTTAATAAATAATTGTTTTTTCAACTCTCGAAAACAAA